CCAATCATTGTCGTAGTTGTTTGCTGGACGCGCGGGAGAGCTCATGATTGCGGGGGGCGGGTTATCGGCTGCAGGAGCTCGGGGCTGCGGATGGGCCTTCATGTGAAGCCGGTTGGTTTGTTTTGTTTGTATTACATAGCCGTCCGGATGTTGTGAGCATTTTGAGCAATAACAGGGAACTCTTTGCGTTCGCTATAGCTCAATCAAAATGGTTGCAAAAAAAGGTAGAAAATAAGACACTGGTACTGACTCCCGGTCCAGCCATCTTTCATTACTAGCACTGTTCCCTGCCCGCTAAGATGGCATAAGATAACACTACCCGAACACGGGCACTAGTAGACGACTGCAATTGCAGCCGTTGGGAGGGACACAGGGACGAGCAGGAGGTGGAAGCACAGCAGCTGCAGCTGAGTACATGCGCGTCGACGCGACGCGACTTGGACGCGTCAGCTTCACGTGCAGAAATCGTTAAGTCACAAGACGTATTCTAACATCCCGTAAAATACGCAAGGTGAGTATTCTCAAATTGGCGTATTGTACGGGTATTCTGACAGTATTGTACAATACACTAGGAATACGCGCGGTGCACAATTTGGCGTTTTGTGCGGTGAAGCATTCCCAACAAGCATTCGGAGCATCGCGACATATTCAGTGAAGCTCAAAGATGAATCGGGGTTTCAAGTCAAGTAGGAAAGGCTCCAGCCGGAGGAGGACCAGCAGTCGGACGGCGTCCTCATATCTCATGAGTCATGATGCTATTTGGGGTCTTTCCTCGATGCATGCTTTATAGCAGTACAGTGCAGTTTATTTGCTTCTAGAGTATCGTACAGGAGCGAAACTCGGACAGTCGAGCAGCAGATCCATGCTGGTTCTATGAGCAGCGATCAGCAGACGTACGCTATCGCGGCTTGCGTAGATTACCGTTGATCTGCGTTTCACGGGTTACATCTCATGATTCGCTGAGTTTGATCACATCGACGTGCGTCCCGAGACCGCGCCATTGTGTTCCTGCACCGGAGCCTTGCGAGACGTCCAAGGGCATCTCTGACAGCGTCTTGGCTATCCAAGTCGGATCTGTGAGAGGCATAAGGTCGTTCCTCTTGGGCAGAAGCTGTTGAGAAAATCCACATCAGTCCTTCCGTCTTGTGTAGGTATAAGACGGAAAAACAAACCCTCTTAACGCGATCATAGGGCGCCTCCCATCCGCTTGACTCTCTCAATATGGTTGGAGGCGAGGAGCTGAACGAGTGATAGAGTCGAGTATCGTAAGTGCGGAACAGCACACCATCAACCCGAAGCGTGAAACGAGACAGGATGAATACGCATGTCGGCATCACGCGCTACATCATGGACATTAGTCAATGTACCATGTATAGCGGCTGACGACTAGGGCACCTACTTACGATGCGCACAAGCAGGTTTGAAGAACCATTATCGTGCAGTTCATCCTCGAATAGAGGGATCTCCGCATAGAACAAGATGGGGTCTGGCCGCATGAGCTCTTGAATGGGAATGACGTGCGATTTGTTTTCCTTGTCCGCTTCAATCCAAGATGCGGATGCCTCAGGACCACCAGCCTGCCCTGCGTATGTGGTGGTGTATGTCCAGTCATACGGCTTCGTGGGCGAGGTCTCGGGCATGGGGAGTTCAGACGAAGGGCCTGTGCTGCTCCAGATGTCAATGGAACCAATAATCCACCGCGAGTCTTACACACCGACTCTTGAGCCACGCATCAGCGTAACCAACCTTGACGCCGCCGTCCCCTTCACCAAGTTCCCCGTTCTTCACAGCCCTGAGTGCATCCTGCGTGTTGAAGGAGTACTTCCAGCCTGATGGGCGATGCACCAGCTCGAGCGAGTTGCGGCTGAAGGTCATCTCTGGCAAAGGGAAGCCCACGGAGGCCTGGAGGGCGTCGGCATCGGCAGCACTTGCGATCGGGTTAGTCGTCGCCGTAATCACCCAACCATTCACTTCAATAGTCCGAGAATTGGGACTTTCCAATAGCTTGTGCTCAGGGACCTGTACTTGGGTGGCCATGGTGGTTGAGCCAGAGCAAGAGCGCGTAGACCGGAGTTCGAATTCGGAGCTGCTAAACGCGTCGCTTGATGCTTTCATTTACAGTTCAGACGCGTCTCGGTCGCAAGAGATGGAGGTTTCACGCTCGTCCACGCCAGAGGCACCTCCGCAAGACTTATGGTCGTCCATTCTCGACTCCGTCTCCTCGACACGGGCGATACCATCGAAACAAGTGCTTCTGCTAGGCCAGCCGTCATCGGGAAAGTCGACATTAGCCTCTGCGCTGCTGCAGAAATCCGTCGAGGCTGAAGACGGGAAAGAGGAATTACGCTCAGACTTCGCACTGGGTTATGACTGGGCTGACATTAGAGATGATGCAGATGAAGGTCCGCGGTTTTTTCCCTGGGTCTATGGTGTGATCTGAATGTCGGACACGTTTAGATACCCTCGCCAGGCTGTCTGTATACACAGTTCCATCGGCCGCTACCTCGTATACAGCCCTCCTCCCTCATTTCTTACCATCTCGGACATCCCTACCCCATACTTTAGTCATGATCGCTCTCGACTGGACGAAACCGTGGACTTTCGTAGAGGAGTTAGAAACGTGGTTATGCTGGGTTGAGAAATGGGCAAAGGGGGACGGTTCACGTGAACTAGAAATAACACGAGAAGAGAATCGGGAACGGTGTAAGTAAAATCATTGGTTTGATCGTATTGTCACTGAAGCTGCCACCTCTCAGTACAATTCCTCCTGCAGCACTATGCCGAACCCTCCGCTGATCCTCTGCCGCCGACAACCAACCTATCAAATACGATCCTACCATTAGGGCCGGGGACATTGACTCACAATTCAGCCGGAGTGCCGATCATAGTGACTTGTACGAAGGCCGATCTAATCGACGACAACTCGGAGCTAGGGGGTGGTGCCTCGGGAATGGGTGTTATGGTCAAAGGGAAGGGCGGTGAGTGGGAAGAGCGGACAGATGGTGTGATGCAAGTACTCCGCACGATATGTCTGAAATGTACGTCTTGCAACTTTCGACGACCGAATGATAATCCTGAAGTTGTCTCGCCAGACGGCGCCGCCCTGTTCTATACCACCCCCCTCCCAGCTACACTTCAAGTCCTCCGGCAGTACACATTACACATGTTATTTACGCCTCCAGCGCCGTCTCCAGGCATGTCAACCGGCACAGAGGCCCCCGCACCCATACGAAATCCTTTCCCCTTCCAACACAAACCTAATGCTTTGGATCGTGATCGCATAATTGTCCCAGCAGGGTGGGATAGCTGGGGCAAGATTGCTGTGCTAAGGGAGGGCTTTGATGCTAAGCTATGGGGTGAAGCCTGGGAGAACGACATTGAAACGGCTGAAGGGGGGATGCCAGAGGATCCCTCTGCCCAGAAGCTGTACAGGACCCTGGTACCGGATAACAGCACGAAAGTGAGTCGACCGTGACTTACGCTGTGCATAAGTTATTCACTTTCTCTATAGCCCCCACCGCTCCCTCCCCTCAATATGCCCACGCCTGAACAGGTTTTCCTGGCGAAGCATTACGACGAGAACGCGAAGAAACCGGACCGCGATCCTCGCGGTGCATTCCGCAATCCAGCCGAAGCCTCAACAGCGGCTGGTATCGTTGGTCCTCTGGGAAGCAGCAGCTTCAACTTGCCGAATGTGGAACGTGCCCTCACGGATATGGAAACCGGCAGCGGTGCAGTGGCAACTCAGGCTGGAGGAGAGGTTCCTCGAAAGATATCCAGAGCTTCCAGTCGGCCCACAGCCACTCTCGCCACTGGTGGCACGGGCGCCCCGCACGGGCTCGGACGTTCGACGTCGGGGTCGCCAGCTAATGTAGGATCGCCCAGTCCTACTGGTCAAACACAGCACGAGGTACTCCAGAACTTCTTCCAGAGTCTTCTGAGCAGCAAAGACCGCCCTGGCGCCGCTGCCGCTGCCTCACGAACTTCGACCGCCAAACCGGCTAACGGTACTAGCCCTGGAGCTGAGACTGAAGAGCCCGCACCACAGTAGTATACACTCCTTTCAATCTCTCGTTTGTGGGCTATACTACTCATACCCTATAGGAGTGTATCGTATCTATAATGTCAGCTTTTGTGGATCTCGCTGCATGCAATGCTATCTTCGGAGGATAATCAGCCACACTTCATGTTTGGCCCTGTTTACCCGTTGCTGCCACCATGGCTTGACCACAGCCGCCCACAGTGCGAGTTGCAAGTTACCGCCATTGTGCTCAGTCTCACGGCGGATCCGTGTGTTTGTGCGCTCCCTGAGCCCCGTACCGGTCCCCAGGAGATATGGGAAAGTGGTGAGTCTCACACTAGTATCATGCTTACGAGGGCGACTCTGATTCTCCCGCCACCAGGACTTCTGAATATCACGATGATGTCCTTCGCTCGAAGGTCAAACGCTTGGTGTGCGTCTCTTCAGATATTGGATGCAAGTCGTGTTACTCAGACAACTCGTTCGAACAGGCAGGGTGCTATCCAAAGGTCGAAGCTGGAGGAGGGACAGCCGACGATAAGCTACGAGACATTCGTACAGGATCTCGACGAGGGTGATTCCTTCACAGCGTCAATGATCGAAACCATGGTCAAAGTGCGTGTTGTGTGTTGCTCTTTGGAGATTAGCGTCGTTGACCATCCCTGAGTAGGAACTAGCGGATAGGCGAGCGAGGACGAAAGAAGCTGACCGTCGAATGATATGTGATTCCACGTCAAAAGCGCTCAGGACGCTGGCTAGCACCACGCCTATTCATCGATCTCGGACCATCCCTCGCTATTCGTCTCGGAGAAGTATCAATCTCACTGAGTATCTGGCGCTACCACCAGATCATATGACCATGGACGACGAAGACCAGAACGATGATTTCGCTCCCATGCAAAATAGGCCCTCGCCACCGGGAGGTCTTAGGGAACTTTACGATGCTTATTGGGACTGGGGTGCACGCCGCCTTTCTCGGTCGCAAACTGGCTCGGCGAGTGGAGAGCAGCAAACTGGCGAACCGGTGGAAAATAACGCGGCGGATGAGCATTCCCCTGGAGAAGAGTCGTTCTCTACGTGGCTGCCTCCTCCACCGGAAATGTTGCGTAGTCCTCCACCTTTCTTATCTCGCCAAGGCCCCATTCGCCGGCCGACTCATTCACGAAGGTTGGATTTCAATGACTTCACCTCACGTCGTCGTTTAGAGTTGAGACGGGCTGCGGCGGGCAGTTCTACTTCTGCTGCAGATGATGCGCCCGGTGCACACGTGCCGACCCCCGTCATCCCCTCTCAGGGCCTGCCGCTTCCCCGCTCAGATTCGACGCCAACACGTCGATTAGAGGTCCATCTACCGTCATGGCGACATGTAGCAGCCGATGAACCTGCTCCCAGTTCTACGCTGACCGAGGAACCAGCTACGATTTCAGACAATACACATACATCGGATCGGTTTCTCTCACCCGTCTCTTCCTTGATAGCAGCCTCTCACACGCTCGACCGTCGCCCGCAAAGTCCTCCCACAGAAGCTTCGTCAAGGAATGCTGAGCACCGGCACAGATGGGAGATTTCTCGCGCCGTTGCACCTCGCCTGCGACGTGGCGGAGTCCGTGCACCGGAGTCTTTGTTGACTACCACTATGCGCTCTGTACATGCGGTTCCGTTCGACGGTACTCGCTCCAGGTCAGAATCACCATAGAAGGCGGCATGGAGTTGGTTACTGCGGTTATGTAATATGTTGTACTTCTGTATTATGCTTATAGGGCACATGCGAATTCGAAGGACATCTGCTGTGGCCTGTGGGGCATTTGTAAACGGTCGACCTTACTTGAAACGTGAACGTGCTCTGCCAGCGGAAGCGTGTAGTCGACGTCTGAATCAGGTTCTAGCAATCGTGTTCGTCTCCGCGTTAATGTCGGTGCACTGGGTGTAACCATGATCAAAAAGCGAAGCAGACCCCAGCCTCAGCTACGGGAGCGGTCCGTAGATATCGAAGAGGATAGCGTTCCTCAGCCAGAAGAGCAGGAAGGAGAAGAGAAGCTCGGGTGAGTGGCTGAACCTATCAAGTTGTCTGCCCCATGGTTTAACAACTCAGCCTCGAGGATCTCATAGAACTCCGCAAGCTAAGACGAGCTAGGGAAGGTATCGATGTCACTAAGCTCAACAAAGGCGAGGTCAAGAAGAAAAAGAAGAGACCCCTTGAAGAAGAGGAAGAGCGGGGCGGCCTCAGGGCAGGAGTAGGAGGGTCGGGAGCTAAAGATGCAGCAGAGGAGGACGAGTAAGATGCTCGTCTATCCCTTCAAACCCAATCTCATGCAAAGTTAGGGAGGAAGACAAGGCTTTGAAAGCTCGAAAGGCTGTCAGATCTAACAATTTCACTCAACAGACTAATGTCTTGGATGCAGACAAACATATGTGAGTCTTGTCACATAGCTGGACAAGCTAAGGATTGAGGCCGTCGCAGGATGGCTTATATAGAGGAGAACATGAAACTTCGATATGGGAAACCGGACGAGGAGGATAATAAAGACCAAGGACCGGCAGACCCTTATGCTGAACTTTTCCGCCTATCCGAACGCTATAAGCTGGACAAGAAGGCAGCGGAAGAAGGTAGCGTCACTAGTAGTGTCGCTATGTTGACAGCAATTCCCGAGGTGGATCTAGGAATGGAGTAAGTCATATGGTTATATCGAATGGCTCTTGCTAACGGGCAAGTTTCGCACCGTAGTGTACGATTAAAGAACATCGAGGAGACGGAAAAGTTGAAGAGGGTAGTTGCTGAGCAGAGGAAAGAACGGAAACCCGACACTAATAATGATGAGGAACATTTGGCTGCTGCACGATGTAGGAGTTTGTGCTATCCTCGTCACTTCGGCTCAGACTCATGGCGAGATCAGTTTTCCGCCCTAATTACAGGCCTAAGTCTGACGCCGACATCATGCGGGACGCTAAGATGGAAGCGATGGGGCTCCCGCCGCAGGAGGAGCACTCTCGGTCCCATAGCTCGCGGCCACAGATGGCGACCGACGAACTGGTGAGTCACTGCAGCTTGTCGTCGCAGGCAAACGTCTGATGCCTTTCGATTAAGGTCATGGAGCGTTTCAAGAAAAGGATGCGGAAATAACACATTGAGATCTTTTGATCCATCACTTTACTATCCTACATGCGTATTTCATCCGCATATCTACTCGAGTTATTGGCCGTAAGAGCGTCGAGGGTAATAGGCTCGCTTAAGAGAGGACAATGTCCTTTAACAGCCCGAAGTTGGGAGTGCCCAGGCCGGTGACTGCAATGGTTATCGTTAGCCAGCCCGACTTCTCGCAGTTCAACAACTTGCCTGGATCCCATCCAACCGTAGCCTACCCATCATCAAAATGATCATTAACGATTATTTGACAATATCAGCGAGTTACGCGCGAATACTCACGTTGAAGCCTTCCGTACCGCAACCGGGGTTGTTGCCGGCAGTAATGTCTGTCAACCCAGCGACTCCTCTGCTATATAAGAAAGGGTTCAAGAAGCCCAGTGGGGGCCGTCCCGCGGATATCAATGCGTCATTGAGAAGTGAGACGAAGCCAGTAAACGTGGGGGACGAGGCCGAAGTGCCTCCAACATAAATTGGCTCGCCTGCATTCCACACGAGGAAGTAGTTTGCTTGCGCGGAGACATCCGGGATAGCCTAGAAATCAGTGATAAGTGAAGAGGTACAGGCAACATCGAGGGTACTAACCCGGCCGTAACTGCCGCAGTCATAATCAGGGAGCAGACGAGTAACTGAATATAAATGTCCTTACGGATTATAGAGACCTTGGTAGGTGCCAGGGGCAAGTTTGGCCAAGTAACTGGCCACAGCTGCTGTCTGGTACGAGGGCTGGGCGAACTGAAAGGCGAGGGGCTATTAGGACTTGGGCAGTTTGACGTTCATGACGCTCACGTAAATGCTAAATCCTCCACCAGAGAAGAATACCGCGACCTCCGGAACATAGGTTGTGCCACCAACAGCTGTGACGCTAGAAATAACCGTGAGTTCGCGAACCCCTCAGGCTGACATATGGCAATTGCGACATACTATGGGCAGCTCGCTGGGAATCCAGGAATAAAACGAGTCACGTTGCGGCCATCGTTAGTATAGCATGTCTGAGTGGCAGGGTCGGGGTCCCCATCCCCAACTCCGCCGTCTCCGGAAGAGAACATTAAAGATACACCTCGAGCACCTAAACCGTCGTGTGAGTATATCGGACGGATGACAAAGATCGTGGGCTCATTGCCTACCTAGTTGGGCAAAACTAGCACATACACGTTGAGCGTAGCTCTCAGGTACTATATAGAACTCGTCAGCAGGCCCGACGACCGCGTGGGTTGGACTACAGTACCCGTCTGCTCATCGCTGCAGGCAATCGAGGCTTAGATGGCGATAGAATCACGCATGGGCAGGACTTACTCTCCGTAACTGGTAGATATCGTCTGAGGTGGATTGGGCACACCAAGGATATAGTCAAGCCACTAGGAATGCGGAGGGTAAGGTGACGATCCAGATGTATACGCCATAATAAAGCACACCTCGGCGTAAGGCTCATTAGTATCGGTTGGAGTATCCATGTCCGGTATGAAAGGTGGGCTTCCCCCAGTGGAGTAGAAATAGCTAGGGGTTGGATAGGTCAAGCCGAAGGCGAATTCGACATCAAGGTCAGCTTCGATCCCTGCAGCAGAGAGAGTCTGGTTATTCTGTCCTCCTTTCGTAGCAAACAAAAAATTAGTGTGGCATTGGAGACTACGTATGAGCAGAAGACGCTATACCATTGATGAGCGTAACCTTGAAGGTGGAATTGACGGCGTCGGGACGCTGCTGAGCATAAAACGATTGCAGGTCCATGAAGTTCGCGTATTGTTCAAGGTAACCCGTGATTCCAATCGTATTCCCGTTCGTGGCGGAGGAATTGTACCCAGTCGCATTGTACAGCTCCTTGAGGCAGGTTATCGTGATAGTGGAATTGCAACTGGCATCGACAACGGTGCCCGAGGCGCTACGGATGGAAGCGGCACCCGAGTCCGAAGCCTGCTGATTGCTGGAGGTCAACCTATACGTGGTCTTCATGCCTCTGAACCGAGAAAAGATCGTCGTCGGCTGAACTAGCTCCACATGACCGTGGACATCCTCGGGCAGGCCGTAGTGGGTGGTCCTGACGATAGTATCGCCGGACTCCGTGTGTTGCCAAACGTGATATGTCTAACGAACATGGATTATTGTGAGGCGGCAGTAGCTGACGAATATACCCACCGTATCGAGCATCTTCTCTGCAAGACTCACTGGCACCTTGACCTTGACCCAATCCTTTGCGGAAGATCGGGAGAGCTCGCTCTGCTGAATGCCAAGGGAGGCGAGCCATTCATCCACGACATTGATGCTTTCCGAATGAGGGGCCACGAGCTCCTCTACCTGCTCCTTGGATAGATGCTGTCCATAGCGAGCATGATCCGGATCACTAACTTCATACAGCGCCTGCTCGAGCTGAGTGAAGTTAGGCTGTAGCAATGCGATCCGCAGATGGATGATGTGGTCAGGAGGAGCGGGTGCTAGCTTCACCCAGCCTCGGGGAGGCTCGATCTGCTCCTTGACCTTATGAGTGCAGCCTTGAGGCGCAGCAACGGTGACCGACACAGCGTAGAGCACGACGGAGAGCCAGACGAACACTTTCATGACGACGCCGTCCCAGTGTCAAGGGGCCGCTGTAGTCATAGAAGACATCCACAGTGGTTTATATAGTCTGAGCATAAATCTATCAATATAACGGTTCTTCTTTGAACGACCATTGTCATCATCAGGCCGGCGACAACACTTCTGGAGACTTCCTTCACAGGAATTCCTTCCATGTGCATGCCGCCGGCCAAATGAGAATGCAGTGCATGCGGTCGATCGTAATGCTTACGGGGAGTAGAAGCGCTAGGTTATGTTTGGTGTCAGTCATTTTGTCCTTTTGTACGTCTCCGGCACCGAGGTTTTACCAGCTGAGTCGCAAGTAAGCCCCGCCTGAGACGAAGCTTGATTCGGGATTCTCTGGCCTTTTGACGGAGAGCAGCAGCGGCAGGACTATCGTATCACGGACCTTAGCAGCGATTGTGGGCATCTTCGCTGCGAACCAGGACAGATCGGCGGTCTGAGCGTGTTCGCTGTGCAGGGAGCTGAAACATGTATGATGCCCCGAAGGTTTGACGTGCTCAAGCCAGCAGGCCAAGTTAAGAGCAAGCACATGCTTCACGGACGACCTCGAAGAATTCGCGAAGAAGTTTCTTTGCCAGGTAACTCGCATTCCAGAGGCTTCGAACAATGGTAAATGCCCAGGGAACCCAGTATGCGTATCTCTCCGTATATGCGCTTCCAAGTGGAGAGCGAGGACTCAGTCTATTGCCACCAGATGTGTGACAGATTAGCTGTCTCCAGGGAACTACGGCAGTGCTTGCACAGAGTTCAAAGAGCTAACAACATAATGGCACCTAAGTAAGGAGGTCCGGACAGATGTCTGATCGGAGCGAGTATTCCATACGGCTCTTCGACGGGACCAGGTAGGTAGACAAACAAGCACTCAGAATATTTGGCACATTGTTGGGGGAAACCTTCCCATAAACAGAGTACGTCGGCGAAGAGCAAGTTGTCAGCTCAGTGTAATGGGACTAGCAGACGTCTGAGGGAGCAGTGGCAGGTGTTTGAGGCCAAGTACATCCGTATTTGGCGTTGTTGTCACCCATAATTTCTTACCTTCGACCAGAGCATACCGCTAAAATGTCTGTCACGGACATAGTATCTGTCTTTGCAGAGGGCACTTTCGAGGAACAGGTCTGTATAAATCATTCTTCTTGTGGACATACACTGAACAGCCCTTTGCGTTAGGTGCAAGAGTTAGTGAATTACATTGGACGAGGCCGTTCGGACGAAGATCGGGCAACACTTATTCACCCATTCCAAGATGCACTAAGGACGTCTGAGAATGATAAGCCACTTGCAGAAGACGTGGAGAAACAGCAGAAGGTTCTATCTATGGTCGTAGTGCAAGTGAAGGGGCTAGGAGACGGCTCGGAGAAAGGTAAGTCGGACATGGTTTAGGAAATTACCATCCTTACAACATTCTAGAGATCGAGGGCTTCTTCAACCTCCTGTACTCGCATCTCCTGACTGTATATCCCACTGAATCGACGCAAACGAAGGAGGCTGTCTCGCATCTACTTCAAGTCATCTCCTTGTCTTCCGCAGAGTCCTCAATAAAATATCGAATGTCCGTATCATGTCCCGTCGGGATCGACACCATATGATCGTTGCGTTTCTGACCAGGAAGCTTCATTAGACTGTCCAATCTCTTCAACGCGCTCCCTCGGCGTTCTCCACTGCGCCTCCCTGTCTACAGAACTCTCCTAGATATCGCCAGCACCAATGATGAGCTCGAGGTGCTCCAAATTTCACGGGCCGATGTTGAGAAATGGATGCAGGAATGGGACGTGACACCGGAGGAGAAGAGTCAATTCCTGAAAAGCATTTCCGATGCATTCTCAAAATCTGGCCAGCCGTGAGTGCATCATGACGCTGGTAGTGGTCCGCCACCTAATTCATCGCTAATACCGCAGAGAGACCGCCTACCTGTTCACCCTCTCCTATGTACGCTCTTTACCGTCGTCCTCTCCAGAAGCCCAGGCGGCCGCACTCGAAGCCATCGCTGCTGCTCTCCGTCTACCAATATACAACTTCGACCCCCTTTTCAAACTGGATGCTGTCGTTGCGTCCAAAGAACACGAATTGTTCTCCCTTCTCCAAGTTTTCTTGAACGGCGGATTGTCCGAGTATCAGTCTTGGGAGCAAAGTCATCCGGATGCTTTTGAAAGATACAGTGAGTGTCCGAGAGCTTATGCGCGGTTCCATCGCTAAACTATTTGCGGCTAGACCTCGACAGAGAGCAGCTCGGGAGGAAAATCAGGTTACTGACGTTAGCCTCCCTTGGCTTTGATAATCTCGGAAAAGATCTGCCTTATACCAAAGTTGCCGAAGTGCTGCAAGTGGACCCCTCACAAGTGGAGAAGTGGGTGATCGACGGTGAGATATCTATATAAATTTATTCACGAATATGCGCTGATTGTCATTTCGTCTGAAGTTATCCGTGCTGGTCTGCTCTCCGGTAAATTGTCTCAGACGTCGCAAACATTACACATCACGCGATCAACAGCCCGCACATTTGAGCGGGAGCAATGGCAGCTGCTGGAACAGCGGCTGGTCGCATGGAAGGCTGGGTTGGCAAGCGTCCTGGAAGTTGTTGCCACTGCTCAGAAAAAGAATGCTGCCGACTCGGCGCCCGCCACAAACGGCGTCGACGCGGCGACGCAGGTGCAGGCTGCTGCTTAATGTTAGAAGTTTTACCTGTGTATTTTGGTACTATATCTCGCCTATTGAGGTATAGCGTGGAGGCGCATGCAGATGTGTCTGCTCTGTATAGATCGTAGTGTAGCATGAAATCCATTGACGACCAGTGCGAAACTAAATTCTATGTCTACCAGTCACCGTCGAAACCGGTGAACCCTACACATTCCGGCAAGTCAGACGATATCGTGAATAGCAAGACTGCGCGCACGCTTACCTGTCAAGAGGAATACCGGGAAGAATCTTTTCTTCTCTAGAAGTGAGCACCAATTCCACGCGCTCGTCAACCGGCCATCGATACAGCTACCAGCGTCATAGAAGTTATCCGCTCCTGAGCCGTCGAAGCCGTGTCTGAAAAAATCACCGAGGATTTCTCTACGGCAGTTGTCAACAGACCCGAACTCATCCTCTATGTACGACCTGATAGCGGGGCGTTCCTCCGCGATCACAGGTATTTGAGACAGGGTATTGCATATAGGCAGGAGAATGCGGTATATTTGGGAGTATTTGTCTGTATGAAGGTATCGCGGTCAAAATCATGATACGTAAGGCTGCGAAACAGAAGCTTACCGATGAACATCAACGCATTTGGTACGTTGTGGTCGCCCATGTGGATTACAGAGGATCCAACCCAGCTTCCTATACTTTTCTGTGCGCGGTTTAGGATGATGTGCATCAAGCGGGACGTCTTGGGTGCAGCCTGCACTCGGTTGAGTCCCTGCCCGGTGTCACGCAGTCGGTATGGCACATTTTCTGACAGTAGATCTTGCTCGGCCAACGACCACAATTGGAACATATCTGCAAGACAAAATATCAGCAATTTCCAGAATTGCGCAGTGTAATGAGCGTTCCTGCGACTCACCATGCAAGATCTCCCTCCATAAGGTCAGACTCTGGATGACATACGCATACTGTTTTGCGTGGTCGTGACTCAGCCTGGCACCTCCCTTCCCACTTCGAATGGCTAAGCTCGATTTACTATCCTTGGCTTGCACAGGATCGAAGTACTGCTTGAGATAGCCAATCATCTTGTCACAGGGATCACGGTTCGTGCGCAGGAAGGCATGGTTGTCGCCGATACTGTACAGGCACTGCCGGATGTTCTCCTGGCTGAGACCTTTGCGCTCGAAACGGGACGCGAGGGTCTCTATGGCGCGTTCCTTGGCTTTGATCTCCTTCTGGATATCGCGACGTGAGCGGCCTTCGGAATAGATTTCCATCGTGGCGAGTGTGACGAGAGGATCTCGAAGTAGGTCCAGAGCACCGTATTCTTCGAGTACGCTGTGCACTGTCTTGATGGGCTTCACGCAGGAGAAATTCAAGAGTTCCTTCACTTCGGGTGTTTGACTATCCTAGACGGTGTATCAGATACATACACTACGCAACGGAACATTGAATCTACGTACCTGGAGCAGATAGATGAGCTTCCCATACGTGGTTCGCATCTTGTCAGGATTCATTATCTTGTGCCTCCGCCCAAGTTCGAATATCTGCTGGTAGAACTCCGAATTCGACTCAAAGTCCCGGTCCTGGAACAGTTCCTGGCCCTGCTTATAGTCCGCAGCGAGCACCAGCCCCGACATGACCGCGCACAGCTCGCGGATCTGCTGGACTATGCGTTTTGCCTTGGATAGCCCGAAGCCAATCGTGTCGATCTTGTCGGTGTACTCGCTGACTTGCAGCGCGGCGTCCAGCAGCCTCAGAAACTTGCGTTCACTCAATGTGAGCCGAAGGGGGATGTACTTTGAGCGTTCCACGAACCATTCCCCGACCTGGGACCCTACTTTCGGCTGCGAGCTGAGGACGACGTCAGGAACAGGCGACTCGGGGCACGTTGGGCCCTCTTCAGAGTCTGCACCTTCTGCATCCGCCTGTATGACATGATATAGCCAGGAAGCACGAGTCGAGTGAGCACCACGAACCTCTTCGGATGTACTGTCCGAAGGCTTTGCAGAGCCATTCAATGTAGACTTGGCTTTCTTGATCGGTGCAGCACCAGAGAGTGCCTTGGTGGCATGCCTCTTCCGGGTGCCTTTCCTGTGTTGTGCCGCGAAGCACACTTCGCAGTAGTCATCTCCGCAGGTTTCGCACCGTACCTGCGCAGGCTGGTCTTAAGCACTTATAAGCATAGAGCGATAACTGCGCACAATATATGAACGTACCTTCACACTCGACACAGAAGCCCTCAACCGGCGCCTTTCCAGACGTTTCCTCGTCCCACCCCTCCGCCGGCCCGTCCTTCGCAGTCGGGTGCTCAACATTTTCGTGGTTGGCGCTGAGGATATTCTGCAATGAGAACGTCTCCTTTTCTGGAGGGTTGTCGCCGTTGGCGGCAGCGGTCGGCGACGACATCGTGCACCGTGAGCAAGGGCGAGCTGATGCGTGGTTGGAAGGGAAGAAATGCAGACAACTGACGCAAGGCGCGTGGCGGGGAAAAAGGATGCACGTGACAGGCACAGGCAGGACAATCATGAACACAGCCTCAAATGAGCCCCTGGCGACCTTCGCAGCAAACCTGGACTCATAGCTGCAACTTGGCCCGGCGTCGGGCGGCACTCCTCGTCGTCGTCGCTATACGCGCCCTCCATCTATGTTCTCTTTGCCCTTCCCCCCTAGTCCTGCCAGGTGCCGGCGTGCTCTCTTGTGTCTGTTCTTATTTTATCAGTCTCTTAGTGCATCCGCGACCTTGACCAACCGGACCATCGACGACGAATACGGCGACGAAGTGACGGGACTCGTGCCGGGCTACTCTCCCGCCGCGGCGTGGAAGCAGGGCTCGACGTGCACCAGCTGCTACATCCACGCGGACACGAACCAGGCGTACAGAGGCACCTGGCACGATTCCACCCATACCCCCGGAGATGCGGAGCCTCGTATCATAAGCCTGTCTTTCAATGGTACGCACACTGATTTGCAGCGTCAGCCATTCGGATGTTTTTCTGAAGCGATATGCTGTGATAGGCACGGCGATCTACGCATATTGCATCCTCGCCAACACCGTGCAGTACACTACCACCCTAACCAATCTCACTTTCCGGCTGGATGGTCAAGGCGTTGGCAAGAATTTCGTCCACGTGCCGACGACAAGTACCGATTTTCAGTATAACGTACCGGTTTATGCGAATGAATCCATCGCGAATGGACAGCATCTTCTGGAAATTGAAGCTACAGGGGATACAAATTCTTCGCTGGTCTTGTTCGATTATGCGACGTATACGTACGTCCCTCCCCACTCTCTTCCCCAATTCTTGATCTCACAGGCGCCCGCAGGTTTGACTCTGACCCAGTATTTTCTACAACGTCTTCACAGTCCTCCCAACCCACAGCCAGTTCACCGCCCCCATCAGAGACACGCTCGAGCAAACACTCCAATATCGGCGCTATCGTGGGCGGCGTAGTGGGAGGCGTCCTAGGCCTTGCTCTGCTCGTCCTTGGTATCTTCCTCTACTCTAGAAGACGTCATTTCGGTGTGGACGGCATCTCAAGACGAAGGAATCGAGAGAAAGTCGATCTCGCCGAATCTGACGATGGTTCGGGCGCCTCAAATGGACGGACGCTGGGCACTTTCACGCCTTACACGGCTGTCAACAATGAATCGTCCAGTGACGCGGTGACGCAGCCATTCCTACTCAGGGATGCAGCGAGCACTAGCACTCGGGTGCCAGGTTCTGACTACGGGTACGGAGTGGGGACGGGTCATAACGAGGCACCCACGCTGCCCACGGAAGCTGCTTCCGCCGTCGCCGTCGCCGCCACTACCGCTGCTGGACACTCGAGCCGAGCACCACGGTCAAAAGCAGCTATGCGTGAAGAAGAGCTCTCACGTCAAATCCGTGAGAGGGAACAGCACGTCGCCGACCTGCAGCGTCGGCGCACACTGACTTCGCATTCGCCGTCTGCCTCCCAGAGCACGGGGCCGGCGTCTTCCATTGCGCCACCATCTTCGGTCAGCGCTGGTGCTGACTCTGAGATGCGGACGCAGATCGAGGCGTTGCAGCAGGAGGTAGAACGGCTGAGAGCGGAGCAGAGGCAGATGCTTTGGGAGATGGACAACGCGCCGCCGCCGGAGTATGAGGAGCGGCGTCTGGGCACATGAGATCCCTGGACTTGCAATCACTTGCGGTATCTGGACTATTTATTTCATGATCTATAGTGACGTGAAGATACTTGTAGTATCGTATGCTTAGTTAGACTCACCATCATTGCAGCCACGGACCAATCACAGTCAGCCATTGGTAATGAAGTCTTCGCGCACAGCCACGCACGCCGCGGGGATCTGAGATTCCGGGCTGCGATCTGTTCCTTCGTCTGTGCAACTCGGCTTTTGCGACTCTTTCCGTCCACATCTCTAGTCCACGCCTTCCGTCTCTTGAAGATGTTCGTTCGTCGCTATCAGGTACAACACATCTGATGCCTCGTGCTGCAGGCGGATGCGCTTTATATACCCAAGTGCATCGTCTCCAGGGGGGTTGCACGCTCCCATGGTATCCTGCACGACCCGACCGCGCTGGCGCATAAGCCCCCTCATTCTCTTTGGCTTCGCTTGCCTCACGCTTGTCTCTGGCGGGATAAATTATACCATCGATGATCAGTATGGCGACCCCTTCAATGGATTCTATCCCTTGTACACCAGCACGCCTGAGGGGAGATGGTCCCTCGGGCCCGAATGTAGCCGCTGCGACTCCAAACCCCAGATCGCCTTTGCGCACGACGGCACCTGGCACGACTCGACATTTAATAACGACACAATTCAAGTAGGGTTAGACATCCCCTTCAACGGTATGTTCTTATTCCTGATCTGCTTCTGCCGCCGAATTCAGCCTCATGGCCCGTTGGTACCCAGGGACTGCTATCTACGTATACTGTATCATGGACAATACAAATGGGGATTATACCAGGTTCACCAACCTAAGTTTTGCACTGGATAACCAGCCCGTCGGATCGTATTCCCACATCCCCAACTATGCTTTGCTACCGTTCCAGTACAACGTGCTGGTCTACGGAAACGACAAGCTCGAAAACGGTGCTCACAATCTAACTGTAATAGTCGGTGGCAGCGGCAACTCTTCGCTCATCCTCTTTGATTACGCTGTATACACGTGAGTGAGACGACTGCTCTCCCGTGTAGTTGTTCTCATATCTACCTGCTTTCAGCTACGAAGGGGAAGCCGCTGGTGGCACTAGTACTTCTACCCCCCCACCTTCCGCCTCCACCACAGCATCCATCGCCATCACCAAACCTTCGAGTAACGATGCAGTTATCATAGGCAGTGTATTGGGCGGCGTCCTGCTGCTGTCGGCCACCGCTATGGTCGTCTACATGTGGCATCTGAAGCAAAGTATCAGGCCTGCGAGCTCGATGTGGCGCTTCTCCTTCGTGAAGCCCCGCCACAGCCGCGGTCATGATGGTTTCAGCATGTCCGAATCGAGACTCAACGCTGGGAAGACTCCGTACTCTAATCCGTTTTGGGGTGGTGCGAAGCGGCCATGGAAAAAGTGAGGAGGCTGAGTGCGGGATCAGGCGGCAGTCCGTGACGTCACGATAGGCAAGGACTCGTTGTTTACCCTTAGGCTCAGGCTTGACTGGCCGTATATCCGACTGTATTTACAAATAGGAATCTCAACAATATGCCAGTACCTGCTGAATCCTCAAAGGCTGGTGCCGACTACCTGGTATTGCATTGCTGTAAGTAATGAGGGGGAGCCCTGGCCATGGGGAGCAGAAGGGTAGGGACTCATGCATATGATGCCGTTTATAACCTGAACAGGAATAGAGGTATGCTGGATTTCTGGATTTTGGTTGGAGGCTGAATATCCATTAACAAGGATATATAATCTGGGGCGTTGCAGCAGGCTGCTGGTGTTACAGTGTTGCGACAGCGTATCGCTGCGAATTCGCGCACAGCCACACTGAGATCTGTGCGATCTGTTTGCACGCACCTCTTTCCTTGCGCACCGAGTCCATAAGGCTGGTAGCGCCACCCTCCGGGCGGCAGAGCCCGCTACCTTGGGATATATGTACAGAAGATTTGAAGCTCATAGTCTCATGTGCTCTGTGTCACTGGTATGAGGGGTGCTTGAGAGCCAGGAAGCAGAATGGTCTTGCATATCATAATTTCCGGACCAGCGGTCAGACTTAGCCAGCTCCATATTTTCTCTTAGATTTGCTAATTTGACCCCCAACAAGCTAGATAAGAGCCTTCCTCGTAATTCACTGGTAGTAACACATTTTTTATGTGCGACCTGTATCGTGTAGAAACTAGTGGCAGTCAATCTCAGCTGTATGCAACATGACTATGTATAGTGGTGTATGTACCTAGTAACAATGAATCTAGTATACGCTGTCAGGTACATGAATAATGCAGCGTGAACACGAAACTCATCTCAGCCGTATGCAACACGACTGACGGAAAGGAAAAGGGGGAAAGGGGAAGGACGCCCGTATATACCCGAGCTCGTTCGTCACAGTGAAGGTGGTGAAGACACTTCTTCACATCGTAAACTCAACATATCACAGGGTAATGTCCGACCAATACTCAATACATAGGAGAGTTGCATGTGTATGACTACATGTAGTCCACATTACCAGAGGACCTCCGAAAATACCAATAAATGCCGGTGCAAGACTCAGTGCCCGGGGTGGCAGCT